AACTTCACCATCACCAACCTTCCCTACACTTCCGACCTGGAGAATCCTGACTCGGCCAAGTTCAAAGCTACTCAAAGGGTTATGAACACATTGGTAAGTGGGACAGCTGTGGAAAATTCTCTTACCCTCCCTGCATCTCTGAACATGAATAGCAGTGAGATTGCCATGCCTTAACTGTGACACCATTTCTCTTGGCAGCTGGACCGCCTGCTGAAGGAAAGTAGCATCAGCCCTGTTTTCCAAGGATGTGAGACAACAGATTTCAGGTATGGGTTACACCCAGTGTCTCTTTGCAAGGCCCTCCCTAAGAATGGAAGCAGTCCCACTCATGTTCTCCTTTTTCTGGAGGCTGGACCTTCTCAGTAATGCCCTCCTGCACAAAGATATTTTCTCTGATTTCTATCCTTCTTACATATTCTCCTTACTGCCTGTCATCTCATCTCGAGGTCTGACTTAAGAAGGCTCTTGGTCTAGCCTTCATTACTTGCTCCTGTGAAGGCCATGTGGAATTTGTGAAGGAGGAAAGTAGGAATTGAAAAGCAAACAACCATATTTTGGGAAGGCAGAGCTTGCATTCCAACTCAGAAATGGTGTTGGCAGTCCAAATACCCAATCCTGAAGGGACACTGTGCAGAAGAGCTGCTCACGTAGGCCCCTGTATTTTGCAGGCCAGGCAGCCACAGGGACGAGACCCGGGTGGACGCCGTGTGCAGCTACAGCAAGGAGGCCTCGGCTGCACCTTTGGACAGGGTGGGGCTGTACCACCAAGTGAGCAACAAGACCAGAGGCATCACCCAGCTGGGCCCCTACAGCCTGGACAAGGACAGCCTCTACGTCAATGGTGAGTGGCGCTCCTCCCTCAGCCTCCTCTGCTCTGCCAAGGCAGCCCTCGCCCAGTGCTGTCCCTGGCCCACATCCAGCTCCTGACCCTCTGTCTCTCTCTTTTCCCAGGATACAATGAGCAGCCAGTGCTGACCAGTGAGTACCTTGCAGGAGTGGGATGGGATCTGAAGGCAGCAAAGGGCTCACTGAGGCTTCCCTCAAGCAGAGGAGGCTGAGGGCTTGTGCTTGGCTTCCTAGCTGGGGCTTGAATTCTTCCAGCCTTTCCCATGGAGAGCAGGGATGGCAGGATGACCTCTATGGTTTGCCAACCACAGCCTTGACATCCTGGGTTTTGCCTCTTTCCCTTCCCCCTTTGTGCTTCTTCCAGCTCCCACCCACCCACCAACAACGACAGCTGCTGCCCTTGAGCGTTTCACCGTCAACTTCACCATCACCAACCTTCCCTACACTTCCGACCTGGAGAATCCTGACTCGGCCAAGTTCAAAGCTACTCGAAGGGTTATGAACACATTGGTAAGTGGGCCGGCCATGGAAAATCGTCTTGCTCTCCCTGGGCTCCCTCCACTTAGAGGAAAATCAGTGAGATTGCCATGCCTTAACTGTGACACCATTTCCCTTGGCAGCTGGACCGCCTGCTGAAGGAAAGCAGCATTGGCCCTGTTTTCCAAGGATGTGAGACAACAGACTTCAGGTATGAGTGTCTCTCCAGTGTGCCTCTCTGTGCCCTTTGTTTATGTAAGAGGACAAGTCATGGTCATGTTCCCCACCTTTATGGAGCAAGAAAATTCACCGTCCTTCCCAGGATCTTCTTCCTAATGCACCTCTCTTCTATACACCCCTTGCTTCCTGCACTCACCTCTTTGAGCTGGAAATGCCCAATCCCAAGTAGATTCTAAGGTTCTTGCAGGCCCTCTGCTTCCTAAATATGCCAAGGCTGTTATTGAAGGCACAGATCAGTGTACGGCGACAAAACACATGCCCCAGTTTTGGAAAGACAAATGTTAAATTGCCACTCTGAAATGACCATGGCAGTTCCATGATGCAAGATGGAGAGGAAAAAAGGCAGAGGAGGGTGCTGAGGGAGGTCCCTGTGTTTTGCAGGCCAGGCAGCCACAGGGACGAGACCCGGGTGGACGCCGTGTGCAGCTACAGCAAGGAGGCCTCGGCTGCGCCTTTGGACAGGGTGGGGCTGTACCACCAAGTGAGCAACAAGACCAGAGGCATCACCCAGCTGGGCCCCTACAGCCTGGACAAGGACAGCCTCTTCATCAACGGTGAGCGGCGCTCCTCCCTCGGCCTCCTCTGCTCTGCCAAGGCAGCCCTCGCCCAGTGCTGCCCCTGGCCCACATCCAGCTCCTGACCCTCTGTCTCTCTCTTTTCCCAGGATACAATGAGCAGCCAGTGCTGACCAGTGAGTACCTTGCAGGAGTGGGATGGGATCTGAAGGCAGCAAAGGGCTCACTGGCTTCTTCCGTAGGGCTGAGGACTCTTGGACCTGGGCAGGAGATCCTGGGGTTATGGGGAGCTTCTCAGCATTTGC